TGGGGGCTGGGGATATAGCTCAGTGGCACAATGCTTGCATGGCAAGTGCAAGGTCCTGAGTTCAATTCCCAGTACAAAAAAAAAAAGAGCTAAAGGTGGTAAGTGAGGCTACTATGGGTAGGTTTCCTGAGCCATTTTGCAAAGGTGTCTCTTTATGGTTTCTTTCTCTCTTTCATTTATTTATTTATTTATTATTATATCTGTTCTGATTATTGTGGCCTCCATGCGCAGTGAAGGTGAGAGAGAATGTCCAGTGCCATAGAGACATTTTGTGTAACTGTTGCTTTAAAAGAAGGCCCATTATCACTCTGTAAGCTCTTAGGAAGTCCAAACGTGGAGATAATTTCTAAGACCAAAACCTTTACCACATATTGTGCCTTTTTTTTTTTTTAATAAGGAAAGGCCTCAACCCAGTTTGTAAAAGTATCTACCCAGATCAGCAGGTATTGGAGTCTCTTACTCTTTGGCGTGTGAGTAGAATGGAGCTGAAAGTCTTCTCTAGGGTATTTGTCATATCTCTGTATACCTGGAGGATGTCAGGTAAGAGGGTTGTTCTTTTGGCAGAGCACATGTTTCTTAACTGTGTGTTTTATTGTCTGAGGAAGTCCTTTTCCTGTGAATAACTTTGATGGCCGTCTGGTGGGTCTTGTCTCCCAAGTGAGAGGTGTGATGTAAAGACTGAATAGTTTTCCGTTGACTAGCACCAGGAAGGAACAAGTTACCGTCATCTGATTGTAACCATCCTGATGGAAGGAACTGACACCCATGGGAGAAAGCCCATTCAATTTCTGACTGAGAATATTTGGGTCAAGTATGACCAAAGGACCCTTTTCAGATCAGGGGGGCCGGAAGTGGGGCGCCCTTGAGCAGCTTCCTTTGTTGCCGTGTCAGCCGGTTGATTACCTTGAGATACTGTGTCAGCTCTTTTTTGGTGTCTTTTTTACAGTAGACTGTTGCCACTTTGGAGGGCATATAGACAGACAATAAGAGCATATCTGTCTCCTTATGATACTTTAATGGGTGATCCACTGGCTGTCAGATAATTTCTTTTTTTCTGTATACTTGTATGGATATGTAATATTAGGAAAACACACTTTGAATCAGTATAAATATTGACTTTTTGTCCTTTACTGAGTTATGAAGTCCTTGTCAGAGCTTTGAGTTCTGCTAGCTGGGCGTGAGTCCCAAGGGCAGGTGAGGAGCTTTCAAGTGTCTGGAATAGAGTCACCGCTAGCCTGCCTTTCTTGCCCCATTTTCCGTGAAGGAGCTGCCATCACAGAAGAGGGTCAGGTCAGGGTCAGTATGGGATGTGTCCAGCAAGTCTTCTCTGGCTGTGTATGTATGGAGAATGACTTCTTCACAGTCATGTTTTTTTGCCTCACTTTCCTCCTTTTCTGATAAAAAGGTGGCAGGGTTCAGGGAGGAACATGTCTGTTTGAATGGCTGGTCCTTCCAGAAGTAGAACCTGGTATTTAAGGCGTTGATTGTCTGATAATCATAGGCTTCCTTTGGAAGAAAGAAGTCCTGCCACATTGTGAGGCATATAAACAGTGAGATCTTTGCCTAAAGTCAGCTTGGATGCCTCTGGCACTAGGAGAGCTGTGGCAGCCGCAGCTCTAACGCATGCAGGCAGTGTTTTTGCCAGTGTCCAACTCCTGACTCAGATACCCTACCTGCTGTTGAAGGGGTCCTGATCCTGCATGCGCACTCCCAAACCCATGTCCCGCCTTTCATCAACATACAGATTGAAACGGTGTTCTGTTGGTAGGCTTAGGGCTGGGACACTTAGAAGTGCTCGTTTAAGCTTCTGGGATACAGTTTGGGAATCTGGTTCCAAGGTTAAAACACGGGTGTCTGTCTTTTGGGCTTCCTTTATGAGCTGACAGAGGGGTCCTGAGGTCTCATCACATTCTGCTGCACAAAGGTGACAGAAGCTCGTAGTTCCTAGGAGTCCCCTTAACTGTTTTAGGGTCTTAGGCTGTGGGAGGGAAAGTTTTAGTTTCATTCTCTCTTCCCCTGGCCTTCAGGTTCCCTTAGATATAGTCTAGTAGAGGCTTCAATTATGGCTGGCTTAGAAGCTTCACCTTTAGACTCCAAAGGTAGGGAGGAGGGACCTCAGACTCCACAGGCAAGTGGGGAAGACACTAGGCTTGGTAATAGTGGGTGAGGCTTTGATCAAGGTTGTCTTGGAAACCTCATCCTCAGGTTCAGTAGTAGTGTCTGAGGATTTGATTAAGGTTGCCTTGGAAACCTCATTCTCAGTGTCCAAAAGGCAAGGATGGAAAATCTCAGGCTCAGTGATAGTGAATGCCTGAAGGGTCAGAGGTTCTACGTAACTTAGCTGTCTATAATAAAAGCATGGAAGAAAGAACTTACTCAAAGTGGGGCAGACCTACTGCAGGAGATAGACGGCTTACTGTGGTGGAATTTGGCAGTGGAGGGAGTGTGAGTGTGGTGTTGGCAAGTGGGAAATTATAGCCAAGGAGCAAGATGTGGGTCAGTGGATAGAAAATCACTACAAGGAAACGTTACAGATAGAGGGGGAGTCTGGTTACACTTTCCTAACAGGATTCTTGGTGAAGACAAACCAGGATGATCAGACATCACCTGGGAAATGGAGGAAGATAAGGAACCTGATCAGGTATTTTGGAAGATCAGATATTAAGAAGGAAGGGTTTTTGCTAAGCTGACTTACCAGGGTTCTTACTGATACTGGATTTTACAAGAAAGTGTATGCGTGGGCCTAAGAGGAGTTTCAGCAACCTGACTGAAGTTTGGTTGAGCAGAGAATGTGTATGTGGTGGTCTAACGTGGACAGCCTCACTGTCCCATTGTGCCATGGGCTGGGGAGGAGGAAAGTGTGCACAGAACTCAGCTTATGGCCTGGTCCCTGCTGAGCTTAGGAATCTCTGCTTCTGGCCTGTTCGTCAGAAAAGGGCGCATGTCATTTTGGTTTATTTTTCCCATTCACTATTGATCAGTGACTAGCAGTAGAAGTCTTGGAGTCTTGTTTACCATCCTCTGATCTCTGTACCATTTTAGGCGTTTATTGCTTTGGTTTGTGACATTTTAGGAGTGAATTACTTGGTGCCTTTCACTGAACTTTCTGAGGAAATGAAATTTCTCCAGCAATTTTTAGACCAGAGGATACTTTATAAATATAACTTACTGAAATAACCATCAGAGCAAATGTTCAGGGAAGCAGTATATGGGGAAATTCATTTAAGTTTCACATTGAAAAAAAATCCTACATTCTGTGGCTTGTTGTTCTGTAGAAAAGAAAACCACTGATAATTTTTGCGCTCTGCTAAAATAAACCAGTAACAGAGGGAACTTGAGAAAGGAAGCTTCCAAAAGCAGAGCACCCAGGAAGCCCTTCTCTCGAGGGGGTTATGATTCCTGTCCTCTCTAGCACCTTTTCCACCCGCTCTGCCATTCGCTCCCTTTGCTTTTCTGCTGCCCGCTGTCTTCTGTATTCCAAAGGAAAAGCAGAAATAACCAGGTGTGGTCTTGGTTCATTTGGTTGAACCTGAGTCGTAGTAGAGGTAAAGCTGAAGGAAAAGTGCTCAGCAGTGCTTTATTTTTTGAGATCACAGGCCCTGTTGCCACAGAATATCAGATCAAGGACTTAGCCTCAGGATGTAGACAAAACTTGGTGCACAATTTCAGGACCCCTTTATGCCTTTTTAGAGCAGCAGCCCCGTACCTGTACTGTAAGAGCCCATAGCATCCCTGGCCTTCCTCCTTGCCAAGCTCGCAGTTGAGGTCCAAGAGAAGAAAAGAAGTACTTGTTAGCAGCTGACTCTGTTTTGTGTCCTGGGGACTCCTCATTTTCTCTATTCTTTAAATACCTGAGTAGTAAGATTTGAGCCTGGGTCACTTCCAGAGTTTTTATGAAGCAGGACGGGGAAAGGGGAAGTAGGAAGGAAGCAAGGCTGACTTGGGTACAAATCGTGTGCCTTTTGTAAGCAGTCCTCAAGGTGGACGAGTCTGTGCGGAGACTGCCCACATGTGTCTTAGAAAAGGATTTCTGTCCTTTCAAAACATTGCCCTGTGTGGAGAGACCTCATTCACATGCACATTTCAAGAGATGCTGGGTAAAAATCTTTCTGGGAAAAAAAAATGGAGTTGAAAGGAAAAAATGAAAAGGGGGAGGAAAAATGAAGGATGTGGTGGGAAATGCCTATAGGATTGTGTGGTTGATTCAGCTTCTTTCACCAGTATGTACTTTCAGAGTAGAAATCTGCATGGAGGAGAACGTGAATTGCTTTATGTTTTCACTTGGGGTTGTTAATAGCTCCTCTTGCTTCCCTTTAATTATCTTTATGAAAACCAGCTGATCCTGTCTTATATGTGCATGTCTGGACTGCCAGTTTGTAGAGTAAGAAGTTGACAATCTTGTAACCCAGTTAGTTCTGAGGGCCATACACGGATGAGAAAATTCTTCATTGAACGTGGGTGAGCTCTTGTCTACCACCAATGCTCCCTAACTTTGAAACTCTAAAAATTTTAATCTCGTGCAACTTTAGCACTCTTTCTTAGGGGTAAAACGTGTGAGTATTTTGTGGGCAGAGGACATTATGCCCCTCGGATTACATTAAGTAGATAAATGCCAGCTCGTACTTTCTATGTTAACCCTGTGGCCTGTGTAACTATATAGTTGTCAGAGTGACTGGGCTGTTAGGGGGGATAGTAACATTTATACCTAACAGGGCTGGGTCCTTGTCTGTCATCTGTGCTTGCCTGTAGGGTAGGTACTTTACTTCCCTAAAGCTGCTATGGTCCTGTAGAGTGAGAGAAGTTGACTTGCAGAGAAGTGAAGAAACCTCCCTAGCCTCCTGGCTTGCGGTGGCAGCCCTGGGGTTGGGAGTCAGTGCTCTGGGCCCAGGGCTATGCGCTCAGCATGGTGCTGAGCTTAGGAGACTCAGCACATTCATAGGGAAGGGGGAATTATGCAGTGGACTCTTGCACTTACCTTTTTTCCCCCTTTCTTGTTGCAGGTCTCTGACAGCAAGCAGCACTAGGAATTGCCTGCTTACCATGAGGCCATTTTTTAAAAGGGCCCTTTTGGTCGTGAGTTATGTAAGTATATGTGTCCTTGTGCAATACTTAATAAATAATTGGAGACGTGATCCAGGCTATTTAACAGAATCAACCATAGATTCTAGCGACACGATCTTGATATCTAGGAATTTACAGGCCGGAACTGTTGCAAAGCATTGGCTGGTGCATGTGAAAGCATCCCAGGTATCTGTGAACCTGCAGACACACACAGTGTGAACTGACACTGCTTAACCAGTCCCTTTCCAGGCACTAAAGCTGAGTTGTCTCTAGCAGTGGCAACAGTCTGGCTGTATCATTTTCTGTTGTGGAATAACAGATGTCCCCAAACTTGGTGTCATAAATACAACATCCATGTATTTGTCCTAAATGTTTTAGTTTGTGCCATGTGCACTGGGGTCATTCTGATCATGCTGATTTTGAGCTGGAGTTATTCAGCCAAGGTTTCTTCACCTGCCTGCCATAAGGAGAGTGTCAGTACATGATCCCTCTTTGTGGTGTGTTCTCCTTTTGGGTCTTTCCTATGGCTAGTCTTTCTAGAAGGATAAGACTTCCATGCAACAGGAAGCTAGGTTCTAAAAGAACCAAGGGTTGCAGGAGCTCCTTAGATTTGTGTCTTCTGCTGCATTCTCTTGGTCAGTGTGTGTCACAAGACCAAGCCAGATTGGAGGGGAGTGGACTATTTCTTGATAATAGGAGTGGGATGCACATATGGAGAAGGAAGAGATTGCTGGTGGCCATCTTACCAAATCTTTCTCTTCTCTGAAGGTCACTGTCATTTTGTATTTCCGTCTGTGGATAATGGGAGGATCTATGCCCCTCTTTTCAGAGCAGGATAATCCAGCTTCGTTTTCGCCTTATATTCTTACAAGGTTAGTAGAAATAATTATTTTTAAATTTTGCTTGGTATTTGTTAGTGTTAAGTAATATAGGTCATGTCTAGGTAGGAAGGAAACTACTATTCATAGATTTAGAATTCTTTTCAACCAATGTAGCTATGCTGGCAGTGTTACTGCTATAGTTCCCATTGGTATATGTGTGTTTATTCCACAAGTATTTTATTGGACACGTTTACCAATAGTGTAACTGTGGAGTGGATTATATAGCAAATTTTGGAGAACAAAGCACAGAGAAGGAAATTGAGTTTGATTTGCCACCATACCATAACCTTTTGTAAGACTAAAACAATGGGAGTTTCTAAGTGACAAACAGACGATCCACGGCTTTTGCTCGGATGTGATTAATTTTATATTATCCTTTGTCCATAAGAGTTGTAGAGACACAGAGTCAGGAAATGATGCTGATCAAGGGCTCCGGTTCAGCAAGATGTTTCATTCCTTGGCTTTGTCATCTCCTGTGGTGTTCTGCTGAGGCTTGCAGATGTAATTATACCTGACAGTTTTCATCACTTTTTTCAGAATATATTGCTGCTATGATGCTTTAAATGTTAAGATGTGCTGTTCTTTTATTTTCATAGTCATACATACCTTTGAATATGCTCTGATACCCTTTTTATGATAATAACCTTCCCTTTTTGTATTTGAATGTAATCCTTTTTTTTTTTTTGGCTTTCTCCGGTACCGGGAACTGAACTCACGACCTTGCGCTTGCTAGGCAGGCGCTTTGCCGCTGAGCTAAATCCCCAGCCCCTTGAATGTAATCCTAAGCCTTACACTTTGATCTTAGTCCATGTATAGGTTGGGTTATTTGTATCTTTTAGGGATAACAAGTTTGATCTTTCGTGTATATGCCAGATAACAGTGTTTGCTTTATAGCACTCATTTACCTTATGTTGTGATTGGTAGGTTTCTACTATTTTCTTTGCCTCATAGACTTTGTTTCTAGTTTTTTTTTTCTTGTTTATTTTTACTTTTGGTTTAAGCTTGAACTCAGGGCCTCATGTACAGTAGGTCAAGCTCTGCCACTGGCCTGTACCCTCAGTCCCTCTTTTCATTCAGACTCTGTTTCCCATTCAGAAGGCTGCCTTCCAAATTGATTGACACATTTGTAAAGTGTTGCAAGTGGCTTTTTTTTTTACTTTCAGCATATACTAACTATATCTTCAGAATTTATCCAGAAATCATTTGGTATCTGATCTCTTGTGTTACCTCTTAAGCAGTTCAAAATCTTTACACACATTTGTGAATATCTTGCATTTTTCAAAGTGTTGTTCAATTATTCTTTAAGCTTTACATCTCCAGTTCTGCTTCTTGCTGTGTTGCAGTCCCCTTGTCCTTGTAAGATACTGCTCACCGACTTTCAAACTCTCCAGAGCTGGTTGTCTGGGTATTTTTAGCTGTGATAGCTCACTGATAAATTGTTTTAGGTTCTCTGACTCCTTAAATAGCTCCTTTCTGCTTTTAAGTGAACATGAGTGTTGCCAGATCCTGCTCTTGCAGGATGGCCCCATTTCTTTTAGCTTTGGGTTTCCTTCCAAGCTTTCTTGTCTCCTGAATTCGAGCATTCATTTCTTCCCTTTGCAGTATATGTAGCCCACTCCCTGAGCTTAGCAGTGTCTGACAACCAAGATGCACAAGTGAAAGACAGTGGAACAGGAGCACACCGCCCTCAGCTCACCAGCCCGGTGCTGCCGTCACAGCTGGTATCACCACTCCCTGAGTGCCTGACCCAGGGTCCTGAGGGCCTTTGATCTGTGACTGAGTTTCATCTCAGCTGCCTATGGAGTTAAGGTGCACTTTTCTCCTGGTAGCTCAAGAAAATTGATGAACCCCTGGCAAAACTGAGGTCGCAGGCCAGACATTTGCCAGGTTCTGTCTTTCACTGCTAGTGCATACAAGCTTTTTCAGAGGGTCTGATACATGTGTCAACCAGGCCTTTCTGTCTCTGAGCCCCTGTAGTCAAGTGACTGTACATGGGAAATTCAGTAAGTGAAAGTGATAAAATACAATATGTTAATAACCATACTTCTAGTTTCTTCTTCTTTCTTTTAAATAAGGTATCTTTCTGTTCTTGAGTTTCAAACATAAAATCTGTGGATATTTAGGGATTGCAGTTGAGAGTTGTTGCAAGTGGCTTTTCACATTTCTCTAAACTGCCTTGGAATAAACTTCTGTAAGCATCCAGGGCTTGTCTTGCTTCTTTGCCGAGGGAGGTTCCTGCTTGACTGACACACTTCATTGCCTCTGCCGGGTTGATGGTTGAATTGCCTTGGTCTCTTTCCCGGTTCGGCTGAGCTTTTGATTCTGTCACTTGACCATGACGTGGCCAGTCTGGGAGTCAGTCTGTGCTGGTTCCACCTTGTCACTTGGCTGTGTTGGCCTGCCTCACTGAAAACTTGGTTCTTCACTCGCCTTCCAGGGGCCAAAAGAAAATTCCAGAGTGTGAAGGTTCCAGAGCAGACGTTTATCGGCTTCTCTTCCTGACGTCCTCACATCGTGAATGAGGAGAGGCTCATGTTGCTTCTCCTGGTGCGCACGCCAGTCCCTTTGGGCACAACCCTGTGCCCCCCTGTAACCTCATTATCTCCCCTGTAACCTCATTATCTCCCCACGTGTGTCTCCAGGTACTCATGTGGGAATGTTGGGCTGACACGGTCAGTCCACGACTGCTTCTCTCGCTGGGTTATAAACTTCGCACAGCTTTCAGGAGCATCTTTGCTTCCATCTTTCAGCTATTATTTCTTCTTTTCAAGTCAGTACACTTATTATTAGGTGAGAATTGTCAGTGTATCTCCATTCGTTAGTTGCTGTGTTTATTAATTACATACTATAATCTTTTAAAAACCCTACTAGCTTTTAAGAGTAGCTTGGTTAAGTTTTTCTTTGTTTCTGATGACCTTGTGTGACTTTAGTTCTGAGATTCCCTCTCTTACGTTTGTTGTTTCCTTCTGTTTAGCTCTGGGGAAATTTCCTGTTGCTTTCTGCTAAACTAGACAGAGATGAAAATCACTGTGGTATGCTTACAAAAAACTTTGTTAAGAACAATTATCGAAGACATGAGAATAAAACAAAACAAGCCTGTGAAACTTGCACTGTAATATAGAACTTTATTATTATATACTTATTATTGCTGTTTATTATCGTTTAAGTACTGTCATCTTAGAGGGTAATGTATAGAAACCTGATAGTTGGGATAATTTTCTTTCCTCTCCAGTAGAAAAATAAAACTTCATATAATTACAGTTTTATTGCCTTGTGGGATATTGAGCAATTTTGTATCTGATTTGCTGGTCTTATTCCTATTTTTTCACTCACTAAAAATTTCCGTCTTAACAGTTGACATTATATATTTTGTATATGTAAGTATTTAACTTACATGTGGATTGAATTTATTTAATTTTTAAAAGTAGGTTTTGAATAGTGTACAGTTCACTTATTGCACTGTATAATTATTATTTTTTGTATACTCACAGAATTGTGCAACTATTACCACAACCAATGTAAAATATTTTTGTGCCCCGCCACCCCTAAAACCCATATTCAGTAGCGGTCACTTCCTGCTTCACCCTTGTCTCCCAACTCTAGGCAACCTGCGTCTAAAATCTGTCTTTGTAGCTGTCCTGCTCTGGACGTGTCGTAGGAATGGAATAATCTCGTGTGATCTCTGGCTCTCTCTGAACATCGTGTTTTCAGGGTTCATTCACACAGTGGTGTGTATCAGCATTTCATTCTTTGTCATTCCCAGTAGAGTCCCATGGTGTGGCTATGCTATATTTTCTTTTTCCAAAGAACTGCATATTTGAGTTGTATCTCCTTTTGGCTACTATGAGCACCGCTGTTGTATACTTCCTGTGTAGGTATCTTTTCATTTCTCTTTAGTGTATGCCTCTATGTGGAATTGCTGGATCAGAAGTGTAATTCTATACCTAGCCTCAGAAGATCTACTAGACTGTTTATGAAGGCAGGGCTATCATTATACCTCCCACCAGCAGTGTATGAAGGTTCCAGTTTCCCGTCTTCTCACTTTTTTTTTTTTTTTTTTGCACTGCTAGGAATTGAATCCAAAGTGTTTACACTGAGCTACATCCTTAGGCCTTTTTGTCTTTTGTTTTTGAGACAGGGTCTTGCTAAGCTGCTAATTGCCCAGGGCTCAAACTGGGGATCCTTTTGTCTCAGCCTCCTAGAGAACTGGTGTTATAAGCATATGCCACCATTGCTAGCTCAAAATTTGCCCTTTTGACAATTTTTTTTTGTTTTTATTATAGTTAATCAGTATGAAATGGTGTCTCCTTGTGGCTTTTTTCTATTTCCCTAATGGCTGATGATGTGGAGCATCCTTTTACGTGCATGTTGGCCATTTTGCTGTGTTCTTGGAACAATCTCTGTTCATATTCTTTGTATACTATTTGGATTGCCTTTCAATATTAAATTGTAATATTATTGAGTCTGTATGTATTCTAGATATAAAACCCTTGTTAGAAATTAGTTATAGGGGCTGGGGATTTAGCTCAGCGGCAAAGCGCCTGCCTGGCAAGCGCAAGGTCGTGAGTTCGGTTCCCGGTACCGGAGAAAAAACCAAAAAAAAACCCCAAAAAACAGAAATTAGTTATAAACAATTTCTCCCTCTCTATGTGTTGTTTCACTTTCTTTATGTCCTCTGAAGCACAAAAATTTTTAATTTTGACTAAGTCTCATTAATCAATCTACTTTTTGTGTTATATCTGTGAAAACTGCTTAGTTCTCTTGAGCTGCCTTTGTCAGGTGTCCGCTTCGCTTACTATAAAAGTTATATAAACTGTTTGTTTTTACTATGTGTATGAGGATTGGGTTTAATTTTTTCTAGCAGTACTGGGCTTTGAGCCTGGGCCCTTGGGTGTGCAAGGCAAATGCGCCCCTAGCCATATCCTCAGCTCTTCTCCACAAGGCTCACCAGATTGCGCAGACTTCCCTCACCTGAGGTCCTCTGAGATGTT